TGGTTTACTTCATAATATCACAGAATAAACTTCGCACTTGTAGGTCATTTGGCTGATAGGAGTTGGACTTGTTTTTAATTCATTTATGGGACGTACATCACTGGTTGTGCCAGCATTTGTTGCCTGTCCCTGGTTGCCCTTGAGAAGGTGGTGGTGAGCTGCCTTCTTGAACCGCTGCAGTCCATTGTGGGTTGACCCAAAATGCCGTTAGGGAGAAAATTGCAGGATTTTGACCCAGCAACACTAAAGGAATAACAATATATTTCCAAATCAGGATAATGAGTGGCTTGGAGGGGAACTTGCAGAGGGTGGTGTTCCCATGTATCTGCTGCCCTTGTACTTCTGGATGGAAATGGTCTTGGGTTTGGAAGTGCTGTCTAAGGACCTTTGGCGAATTTTTGCAGTGCATGTTGCTGGTGGCGTGACCAAATGTTTGTTATGTGCCAGTCAAGCAGGCTGCTTTGTTCTGAATGTTGTTGGAACTGCACTCATCCGGGCAAATAAGGAGTATTCTATCACACTCCTCACTAGTGCCTTGTAGATAGTGGACAGACTTTGGGGAGTCTGGTCAATTTCCAGCAACAGTATTACTAGCCTCTGGCCTGCTCTTGTAGCCACTTTTATTTATATGGTAGTCCATTTCAGTTCCTAGTTAATTGCATTCCCCCAGGATGTTGATTAGTTGGGAATTTAGTGATGGTAACACCATTGAATTTAAAGGGACAGCGGTTAGATAGTCATTACCTGGCAATTACACAGCACAAATGTTTTTCAACCCAAGCCTGAATATTGTCCAGGTCTTTTGTGTTTCAGTATCTGAAGAGGTGCAAATGGCGCTGAATGTTGTGCAATCATTGGTGAACCTCCTCACTTCTGACCTTCTGTTAGAGGGAAGGTCATTGATGAAGCAGCTAAAGATGGTTGGGCCCAGGGCACTACCCTGAGGAGCCCCTGCAGTGATGCCCTATGGCGGAGATGACTAATCTCCAACAAGCACAACCATCTTCCTATGTGCTAGGTATGACTCCAACAAAGAGTTTTCCTTCCTGATTCCACTGTTTCCAGTTTTGCTAGGAATCCTTGATGCCACACTCGGTCAAATGTGGCCTTGATGTCAAGAGCTGTCACTCTCATATCACCTCTAGAATTCAGTTCTTTCATCCATGTTTGAATCAAGGCTGTAATGCGGTGAGGAGTTGAATGGCCCTGGCAGAACCCAAACTGGGTATCACTGAACAGGTTAGTGCTGAGGACGAGGTGTCATCACTTTAGTGAAGATGTGACCAGTAGAGTGCACAAGGGTGAATCAGTGGATGCTGTGTATCTGGACTTTCAAAACGTCCCACACAATAGATTATAGTAAGCAAAATTAAAGCAGATGGTATCGGAGGTAATGTATAGATAACGATAGAGAACTGGTTGGCAGACAGGAAGCAGATAGTTGGAATAAATGGTCCTTTTCAGAGTGGCAGGCAGTGATGAGTGGGGTACCGCAGGGTTCAGTGCTGGGATCCCAGCTGTTCACAATGTACATTAACAATTTGGATGAAGGAATTGGATGCAATATCTCCAAATTTGCAGACGACGTTAAGCTAGGTGGCAGCGTGCAATATGAGGAGGATGCAAAGAGGCTGCGAGGTGACTTGGACAAGCTGGCTGAGAGGGCAAATACTTGGCAAATGTAATATGTGGATAAATGTGAGGTTATCCACTTTGGTGGCGAAAACAGATTATTTTCTGAATGCTGGCAGTTTAGGAAAAGGTGAGTTGCAACGAGACCTGGATGTCATGGTGGAACAGTTGCTGAAGGTTGACATACAGGTGCAGCAGGCGGTGAGGAAAGCTAATGGTATGCTGGCCTTCATAGTGAGGATTTCAGTATAGGAGTAGGGATGTCTTGCTGCAGTTATACAGGGCCTTAGTGAGGCCATACCTTGAGTATTGTGTGCAGTTTTGGGCTCCTAGTCTGAGGAAGGACATTCTTGCTATTGAGGGAGTCCAGCAAAGGTTCACCAGACTGGTTCCTGAGATGGCAGGACTTATATATGGAGAAAGACTGGACTTGTCCTAACTGGAACTTAGAAGAATGAGGGGGGAATCTCATAAAAACATAAAATCCTGATGTGTCTGGATAGGCTAGATGTTTGGGAAGTCCAGAACTACAGTTACAGTCTAAGAATAGGGAGTAAGCCATTCAGGACTGAAATGAGGAAGAATTTCTTCACTCGGAGTTGTGAACCTGTGGAAGCTGCTGGGACCAGTTTGTTAGATATATTCAAGAGGGCACTGGACATGGCCCTTGTGGCAAAAGGGATCAAAGAATGTGGAGACAAAGCTGGAGTGGGAAACAGAAATTGCATGACTTTATTGAATGATGGTGCAGGCTCAAAGGGCCGAATGGCCTACTCCTGCACCTATTTTCTGTATTTCTATGTTTACTGATGATCAAGAGTAACTGATGAGGCAGGAATTGCCTGAGATGAGTTTGTCCTGCTTTGTGTGTACAGGATATACCTGGGAAATCATCCCCCATTGTCAGGTAGATGCCAGTGTTGTAGCTGTACTGGAGCAGCTTGGCTAGGAGTGCAGCAAGTCTGTAGCACACGTCTTCAGTACCGTTGCCAGAATTTTGTCCAGACCCAAAACTTTTGTAGTATTAAATTTCTTGATATCACGTGGGATAAAATGAATTGGCTGAAGACTGACATCTATGCTGCTGGGGACCTCTGCAGGAGGTATAGATGGGTCATCCACTTAGCACTTTTGGCTTAAAATTGTTGCACATGTTTCAGTCTTATCTTTCGTGATGTACTGGGTTGTCCCATTGTTGAGGATGAGGATATTTGTGGAGTCTCCTCTTCCAGTGCGTTATTGGATTGTCCGCCTCCATTCACAACTGGATATGACAGGATTATAGAGATAAGACCTGATCCTTTAGTTGTGGATTGCTTAGCTTTGTCTATCACTTGCTGCTTATGCTGTTTGGCATGCATGTAGTCATGTTTTGTACCTTCACCAGGTTAACTCCTCATTGGTGCCAGGTGGCCTGTCCAGTTTCATTCCTTTTTTGAGACATTCTCGTTGATGCAACTGAATGGCTTTGTAGACCATTTCAGAGGGCAGTGAGAGTCAACCACCTTGCTGTGGGTCTGTAGTCATATGTAGGCCAGACCAAGTGTTGCAGATTTCTTTCCCTGAAGGACGTTAGTGAATCAGATGCATTTTTCCGAGAATCGACAGTGGTTTCATGACCATCATTAGATTCTTGGCCATCATTAGATTCTAGATATTTATTGAATTCAAATTCCACCATCTGCCATGGTGGGATTCAAACCCAAGATTCTGTGCTCAGATCTTGTAGCATGATCCTATGGTGATGTTTGGCAACCTGTACACAATAATTAAGTTGTGACCTAAGTTTCTTTTGTGGTAATCATCACCAGTTTTAAGCCATGGACTATTAAGATGTGAAACTATTTCTCACAGAAAGCAAAATAAACACAAAGTAGAATTTAATAACTTGCAGTATACGATATATTAAGGAAAAACTTCATTTCAGAAAAGCATTTTATTATGAACAAGGATTTTACATGATAAAGATCAGTCAGTATGTGCTTTTGGCATGGAATTATTAAATGAAATAGTTAAACTTGATTGACTATTAAGATTAAACTAAAGATTGCTCCTCCCTTTACAGGTAACTGTCATTAAGAAGCAGAGATAAGTTACCAATAGTTCAGCTTATTTGATGATAATTTTCCAGCACCTATCTCTTCCTCATTTCTCAAGGAGTTTCTCATGCAGTGCCTCTTCAACCTGAACTTTCAAGAACATTCAGTATCTTAATTGGGAAACTCACCAGCAATAAGTACTTGTTTTCCTCGTCACTTAGAAAAAATAGATTGAATAAGAAAGCAAAACAGAATAAAGAACTTGCTGGAAAAACTGAAATATAGCAGAAAAATAGCTAGCAATACTTTAAAACAGAAAATGCTTTTGCAATGACTTATCATATAATTCTTAGATGATATATAAGGAAATAGGTACTTAAATGGAAATGTGTATTATCAGATACAGACAGGGAGAATGTCCTGTTTGCAGTGTATGGTGAAACTGTGAATACAGTTCTAAATAATGCACACATATTTTGCCACCTCAGTGGACAACAGCAATTAAGCCAGAATGTTTGGTGTCATTATCTATCTTGGGTGGATTTCCACAGATTCACTGTCGTAAATTGACAGCCTGGAACTGTCAGAAGACAATGGAGCAGTGCTGCAGTAAGACATGCACTGGGGTGACATGGAGAAGATTCTGTTATTAAAGGGAGCAAAGATGTTCTGAATATCCAGAAACATGTAAAGGGCTGTACTGAAGTAATTAGGGAAGTGAATATTTTGGCCCTTTTCATAGAGATCACTACTAAACCCTAATTCTTCAATTATTGAACTAGTAGTCTTCTTGCCAGAATCCCAGGAACTATCTCATTCATTTCATGGTAGTCCCAGCTGCCCAGGGTGACCTTGCAGTTTTTGGCCTAACCCACCTTTTGCCATTTATATGTGTTGTATCTGTGTCACCACCCCTGGCAGAGTAAAACATCTAGGTTCAGATGGTACTGTAGCGGTAGGCTTTCATGACTAATTTTCCTCTAAAATATCACAGGTTAATTATTCTGTCTCTGCAAACTACCTATGACCTAGACATTTAAAGTACAAAACATGCTAAAAAAAAAATAAATGGAGACACCATTAAGAGTGTAAGTGTACGCCCTTATAGTTTAAGAGTTCTGACAATTCAAACAAATAATCTTCCCCTTCAAGTTAGGAATAAAATTCAATTAACAATGAAAAAAAGCATGTTTTACTTGTCAATTAACAGCAGGTTGCTCCACTTTATAAAGCAAGGAAAATCTTAGTATGGGTCATTTTGGTATAACTGATTTAGATTATTATCATGACAGTCGCTTACATGCCATGCGTGAAATTAATTCTTTTTACCATATATCCTTTATGTTTTTTCAAAGCAGTAAGACATGTTCTTTTCTTCTGCAGCACATTCAGAGGTTTGATCCAGTTTGTTTGAAAGTGAATCCTCTTCTTGCTAGTTCCTTCATTATGTTGGCAATGTTCTTGCAGTCATCTATTAGGGAACATTTGAAAAATAGAATCTTAGTGTTTATTTTATATTTTCACTGTAAAAAATAAAACTAACTGTACAACGTGGAATATGAGGGAGTCATCAAAGAAAAGCTTCAACAGCTAAATGGCTGAGTATTGTTCATAGAGTCATAGTGTGATAGAGATGTACAGCATGGAAACAGACCCTTCGTTCCAACTTCTCCATGCCGACCAGATGTCCTAAATAAATCTAATCCCACTTGTCAGCATTTGGCCCATATCTGTCTAAACCCTTCCTATTCATATACCCATCCAGATGCCTTTTAAATGTTGTAATTGTACCAGCCTCCACCACTTCCTGTGGCAGTTCATTCCATACACGCACCACCCTCTGCGTGAAAAAGTTGTCCCCTAGGTTCCTTTTAAATCTTTCCCCTCTCACCTTAAATGTATGCCCTCTAGTTTGGGACTCCTCCACCTCAGGGAGTAGACCTTGTCTATTTACCTTATCCATGCCCCTCATGTTTTTATAAACGTCTATGAGGTCACCCCCTCAGCCTCCAATGCTCCAGCGAAAATAGCCCTAGCCTATTCAGCCTCACCCTGTAGCTCAAACCCTTCAAACCTGGCAACATTCTTGTAAATCTTTTCTGAGCCTTTTGAAGTTTCACAACATCTTTCCTATAGCAGTGAGACTGGAACTGCACACAGTATTCCAAATGGGGCCTAACCAATGTCCAGTATAGCTGCAACATCACCTCCCAACTCCTATACTCAATGCACTGACCAATAAAGACAAGCGTACCAAATGCCTTCTTCACTATCCTATCCCCACTTTCAAGGAGAACATTGTCGTCCATTTGTATACCTCCTTTTTGTTTGTACACTGACTCTATATTCACCAATTACATAGCACAATATGGAGAAAGGCTGATTGAAATAAAGATTACTTAGCACTTTGCTATTCGTTTGAAATTAATAAAAAGATGACTTCGTCTGGCAACTTTTGTTTTTGTTTCAGATACCCAACATTCGCAGTTCTTTGTTTTATTCATTTTATCTTGGTTTTCATGGAAAATTATAGTGCACATCATCTTTTTAGATATGTAACCGAAAACAGCTTTCCAAATGTTCAACAAATATATTTCTATTGAACATTGTGCTATTACTGTGTTAGTGATTAAGTGCCCTCAATACAATTTTCAGGTCTCAATGGGTTGGCAGACCTTTCGCCTGAAATGGGACCCTGTTTGCAACTTTCAGAACTAACTATACATTATCAGGCCATTCAGCCCAAATAGTGCATGCTCATGTTCATGTTACACTTAAGCCTCTCCCCATCCTTCATAATCTAATTCTAGCCCTCTGATCCCTTCGCCCTCTTGCTTGTCAAGCTTCCGCTTAATCACATCTATACCATTCACCTCCATTATTCCCTTAAGTCATGACTTCCACTTTCTCAGCACTGTCTGGGTAAACAAGTTCCTCCTCATTCCCTATTTGAATTTATAGTAATTAAAATTTTGATTGTCTTTAGTTTTGGATTTTTCCGCAAGCATAAATGCTACCAACTTTGTTTTATTGGAAAATGAGAATTGGAACAATTCTATACAGAGGGTTGTGGTTTCTGAGTCCCGAAGCAGCAGTGGAGAAGTGTGAGTGACAAGGCAGACTGTGCAAATGCACATCAGTGTAGTTGATATACCCTCAACCCACCCACCATTCCCCCCTCAAATCCCCATGCCTCCACTATGCTACCTCATAATTCCCACATATTCATAATTCACAGCAGCCCCATGTCAAAACAAATCCTGGGAAATGTTAACGATCGAGTCTGTTGAAACTAAAACACTAGATGGTCTCTCATTTTTAAAAGGATCTGCAGATACTGTGCCTTTTCCATTTCAAAGCAGAGTGCCTGTAAATCAGTGGAGTGTAGCGGGTGTAGTTTTTTTTAAATGTTCAACAGCATAGCCATGTGTTTCAAAGTTAAAGATCGCTGGACATTTAAATCACAGTGCAAAACATGAGAGTTTTCGAGCAGATTTTTCTACAGATTTAAAAGCATTATTGCACTCTACCCATTGGGAAAAGTACTGCAATACATCTCAACATTTACTCAGTGATAGTTAATGTAATCATCAACTTACCTTTGAAAGACATACCCCTATGATGAATCAGCATTTAAAAACACATCCAAATTATAATTTAGTGCCTAACAGCACATTTTAAGGTGGCAAAACATTTAACTCTGAGCTGCTCCAGGTTCCTTATTTCCCCAGTAGTTGTAAACTTTTCAAACCTCATGCGTTTTTTTTAGGGCTTCGAGAAACTACATCACATGAAAATAGCTTTGAGAAGGAAATTCAAATAATATGTGGTCCTCACAATGGTGACCCAATTTCAGAAGAGCTGCAAATGGGAGTCACAGCTGAGGCCCTTCTGACACACAAAAAGACTACACAATAATAGATTGGGGTAAGGAAGGCACTGCAGATTGAAGGTTGCTGTCAAAAATCAAAATTTCCTACTTTGCTAATTTCATTACTGCCTCCATGAGATTATGTGGCATATGGTCAAATGCTGTCTTGGAGTCACTCTTACCTCACCTCTGGAGTTCAGCTTTCTCGTCCATGTTTGGACTGAGGTCAGGAATTGAATGGCCTTTGTGGAACCCAAACCAAGCAATAGTAAGCAGGGTTGATAGCCTGGTTGACAAACCCCTTGCTTCATTTTGCTGATGATCAAGAGTAGATTGATAAGGTGGTAGTTGACCAGGTTTGACATTCGTCCTGCTCTTTGTGAACAGGAGATACCTGGGTAGCTTTCCACATTGTCTGCAGTACTGTTACCAAAATATTGTCAGGACCAGTATGGGCAAAATACTGCAGATGCTTGCATTGCTGAACAAACAGAGAATGCTGGAGAAACTCAGCAGGTCTAGTAGCATCTGTGGAGAGAGAAACAAAGGTACTTGAAATGTTAACTTTGTCTCTCTGTCCATCGATGCTGCCAGACCTGATTTCTTCAGCATATTGTCAGGAACACTGCCTTTGCAGTGATTTCAGTCGATATCATGAATTGAATTAATTGAAGACCGGCACTTGTGCTGCTGGAAGCCGTAGGAGGATTATCCAATAGGTACACCTGGCTGAAAATGAATCAAATTTCTTTAGTTTTGTCCTTTGAAGTGAAGTGCTAGGCTCCTCCAGGATGTGGGTATTTGTGGAGCCACCTCCTCCTGTTAACTATTTCATTATCCACTAACATTCATGACTGGTATGCAAGACTGCACAACTTAGATCTGATCAATTAACTGAGGGCTCACTTAGCTCTCTTTTGCATGCTGCTTTTGTTGTTTGACATGCAAGTAATCTTGTGTTGTCACTTCACACCAAGCTGACACCTAACTTTTAACTGGTACTGCTCCTGGGATGCCCTCCTGCACTCCTTATTGAACTAGGGTTGATCTCCCAACTTGGTGGTAATGATAGAGTGGTAATATGCCGGGTTATAAAGCTACAGATTGTGGTTGAATACAATTCTGCTGCTACAGTTGATTGGCCTCTGCGTCTTATGTATGCTGGAGTTGCTAGATCTGTTCAAAGTCTATTCTATTCAGCACAGTGGTAGTGCCACACATGATAGAGGGAATCTTCGATGTGAAACTGGGGACTTAGTCTCCACAATAACTGTATGGTAATCTTGTTTACCAATACCAACGTGGATAGGTGCATCTGCTACAGTTGGATTGGTGAAGATAAGATCAAGCATGTTTTTCTCCTTTTGCTGGTTCCCATACCACCTGCTGCAGACCCAGTCTAGCAGCACTGTCCGTTAGGACTCAGCCACCTTGGACAATAGAGGAACTACCAAGCCGCTCTTGGTGATAAGCGCTAAAGTCCCCCAGCCAGAGTAAATTCTGTGCCCTTGTCACCCCCTGTGTTTTGTGCAAATTCAACCATTTACTTTATGTTTAAGTAACCATCTATAAATATCACAACAGGGTTCGGATGGCGAATGAAGATTGGACACCATATTCCTGCACTACTTCAACAGAGCCTTTTCACCTGAGATAACAAGGTGTAGAGCTGGATGAACACAGCAGGCCAAGCAGCATCAGAGGAGCAGGAAAGCTGACGTTTCGGGCCTAGACCCTTCTTCAGAAATGGGGGAGAGGAAGGGGATTCTGAAATAAATAGGGAGAGAGGGGGAGGAGGATAGAAGATGGATAGAGGAGAAGATAGGTGGAGAGGAGTCAGACAGGTCAAAGAGGTGGGGGTGGAGCCAGT